CGGGATCCGACACCAACACCGATGGCTAAAAGCTCTTTCAACGGATCAAGTGATCGATGGAATGATGGTGGAGTAAAGTCGTACCACACGGCTAGGCGAATCTCCGTGATAAAACAATGAGTTCTCTTGCTTTTGGAGACAACTTGACAAGAACAAGAGGGAGGTGATTTTTCTCTTAAAAAAATTCTAGGTTTTTAATTCATCAAGCGTAAAAGATACAAAAGGTTTTTGGGCTGCTTTTATAAGCTCTCCACAGCCAGACTCTTACAAATCACAAAAGAAATAAAAATGGAAACAAAGAAAATAACCAAAATACTATAATTGTTTGTAAATAAAAAGAAAACTCTCCTAAACCAAAAATAAAAAGAAACACGAACGACGAAATGGTTAGAAATCAAATAAATTGATTGAAACACTTACTTGGCTTAAAGGTTCGTGATAGTGGTGACGGTACAGCCGGCTCGGGCTATGATCATAGGCCATGGTTCATGGTATGATGAAAACAGAGGGTTTCGATGGTCTCTTGCCTTAGCTTGTATTGTTTAAGAACCCTAAGTAAACACCTTTTGATCAAGACTTGTGATTAAAGACAACTTTCTTTATTATAGCTTTAGAAACTAACTCAAAACTAAAGCCTCACAAACCCTCAATCTCTCATACAACTCATATGACTTATCACACATTGGTAGCTCATATTTATACACAAAAAAACCCTTAGACCTAATCCTAACTCAATTAGTATCTACAAAGATATTATCTTAGTTTTAGATATCTCCTAAAACCCTTAAACTTTTAACCCTAAGTTAACTCATAACTCAAGTTAACTTCTAACCATAAGCTTCTAACTCAAGCTTAACTCAATAATCACCCCCTTAAGCTTGAGAGCTTCTTTTGATACATCTTGAACTCCAACGAGATCTCGCATCTCCTTGAATTTTATCCTTCCAAGAGCTTTAGTTAAAATGTCAGCCTTTTGTATGTCTCCCGGAACATGCTCCACTTCCACTTGCTCATTTTCAACACACTCACGAATGAAGTGATATCTCTTATGAATGTGTTTACTACGTCCACGGAAAACAGGATTCTTGGTGAGTGCTATGGCCGATTTGTTGTCGATTAAAATCAACACCTTCTCGTATGATTTCTCAATGATTTCACCTAGAAGTTCCTGCAACCAAATTGCTTGTTTCGCAGCCTCTCTTGCAGCCATGAACTCTGCTTCACAGGATGATAAGGCTACAGTTTCTTGCTTTTGAGAGCACCAAATGATTGGACAGTCATTTAGATAGAAGATAAGGCCTGTTGTGCTTCTTCCATCATCTTCATCAACATTGTGATTGCTGTCACTGAATCCTAAAAACTGCATTTTATCCATTCGGCCAAACAAAAGACCATAAGACTTAGTTCCTTGAAGATACCTTAGAACCTGCTTCGATGTAGCACCATGTGATTCTTTAGGATCATGCATATATCTACTTAGGACTCCTACACTAAACGTGAGATCTGGTCTTGTATGGAGTAGATATCTTAAACACCCGATATATCTCCTGTACTCCTTTTCATCTATGCTCCTTTCTTCAAGTGCTTTACTTAACTTCAAATTTGCACCCATAGGTGTATGTACTGCATTACATTCCTCCATTCTGGTTTCACTTAGGATTTTAGATGCATATCTCTCTTGACTTAGCATAATTCTTTCTTCATGTCGTATTACTTCTATACTAAGATAGTAGGTAAGCTTTCCTAAGTCACTCATCTCAAATTTTGTGGCCATTCCCCTTTTAAATTCGAAGATTACGTCTAAGCTAGAGCCTGTTACCAAAAGATCATCCACATAAATTGCCACGACAAGAAACTGCTTATTCTCTTCCTTCGATACAATGATGGTTCTTTAGAGCACTTAACAAAATTTAGCTCCATAAGGATCTGATTAAGCATGTTGTTCCAAGCCCTTGGGGCTTGCTTTAGTCCGTATAAGGCTTTGTTTAGTTTATACACCTTGTTTTCATCACCTTTGATCACATATCCTTCAAGCTGCGTGACATACACAGTTTCTTTCAATTCCCCATGGAGAAATGATGTCTTTACATCAAGGTGATGAATTTCCCACTCTTTTGATGCATCTAAAGCAATGATGAACCTAATTGTTTCAATGCGAGCTACTGGTGCAAACACTTCATCAAAGTCTATACCATGTCTTTGAACATATCCTTTAGCCACGAGTCTTGCCTTGTATTTGTTAATACTACCATCAGAGTTGCGTTCGATTTTAAACTCCCATTTTAAGTCAATTGGCTTAGAATATGCAGGAAGAGAAACTAGATCCCATGTTCTATTCTTGTTTATAGACGAGATTTCTTCTTGACACGCATCTCTTCATTCCTTTAGTTCTTTTGCTTCATCGTAATTCCATGGTTCTTCATTCAAAGTCAACAAGAGCCGTTCTGTTTCAAGTTCAGCTAATAGGAGATAGTCTTGCAGGTAGCCAGGCTGCTTAGTTTGTCTTCCTGATCTTCTAAGCTTTGGTTGTGACTGTTCTTGATTCTCCTCAGCTTCAGTTGAAGTCTTTCTGGAACCTCCTCTTCAACAGACTCTTCATCACTATTTTGTTTTTCATTTTCCTCTGTTTCATTTATGACATTATCAATATCTATAATGCCATTGTTTCCGAATTCTCCAAAAGTAAGAGTGAGTGTTCCAGAGTTGTCATTAGTTTCTTCAAGATTATTCCACTTCCATCCCTTGGATTCATCAAAAACTACATCTCTGCTTACAATTATCCTGCGTTTTGTTGGATCTAGCAATCTATAGGCTTTGGAACCTGGTTCTGTTCCCAAGTACACCAATGCTCTAGACCTGTCATCCAACTTCTTTAGATGCTGAAACTCTACTTTTGCATAAGCAGTGCAACCAAATACCCGTAAGTGCTCTATATTTGGCTTCTTTCCCTTGAATGCCTCATATGGAGTCTTGTCACTTAAAGTTCTTGTTGCTACTCTGTTAATTACATAGGTACCATGTCTCACTGCCTCTCCCCACAAGTAATTAGGTATGCTCATATGTTTTAAAATGCTTCTTGTCATTTCCATAAGCGTCTTGTTTCTTCTCTCCACCACTCCGTTCTGTTGGGGAGAGTAGGATGCTGTCAAATGTCTCTTGATGCCAGAGGTTTCGCAGAAAGCTCGCTTGAAATTCTTGAGACATGAACTAACCTCCCCTATCTGTTCTGAGAGTTTTATATGTTCAGTCCAGTTTTTTGCTCGACAATGGCCTTGAAACTCTTGAATTTGTTAAGACTTTCACTTTTCTCTCTGAGCAAAAATGACCACATATACTGTGAGTGATCGTCAATCAAAACAAAAACATACCTATTATGTGCAGTTGTAGGTGGTGTTATTGGTCCACATAAATCTGCATGAACAAGCTCTAAGATACTAGAAGCACGAAATGATGTTGCTTGTGGAAACGTCTTCCTAGTTTGTTTTCCAAGAAAACAAGAAGAACACATTTCTTTTTTGACTTGTATGTTTGGTAAACCAATGACTAACTCTTTCTTTATCATTGTCTTCATGTTTTCAAGATTAACATGACCCAGTCTCGCATGCCATGTGCTTGAATCTCCGGTTTTCACAACTTGTAAGCGATTTTGAAACTCAGCTTCCATTATAACTTTGTAGAGGAAATTCTTTGATCTTAATGCTTTTACTAATAAGTGACCATCCTCATCATAGAGCATCAAGTAGTTTTCTTTCATTCTAACATCACATCCTGACTTTGTTGCTTGGCCAAGATTAATGATGTTACTTCTTAGATCAGGGATATAATAGACATCAGCTAATACTTTGCGTTCTCCATTCTTTGTTACAAAGAGTATTGGACCTTTGCCCTTTATGTCTATCTTTGAATCGTCTCCAAATCTGACTTTTCCTGTAACAGTTTCATCAATTTTTGAAAAATAACCTCGATTTCCTGTCATATGGTTGCTTGCACCATTGTCTAAGTACCAAATCTTGTCATCATCCGTATTTTTCTTGAAATCACTTGGTTTGACATTCCTTTCATTAAGATATACGACTTCAGGCATCATTAACTCAGCTATTTGAGTTTCATCTTCTTCATTCTCTTGTGTTTCTTGCAGTTTAAGCAATCTTTCGGGATAATTTGAAGCAAAATGACCATTCTTGTCACAGAGATAACACACAACTTTTGATCTGTTTCTGAATCCTCCTTGATTCTGAGTACCTATCCTACCTCTTCCTCTTCCTCGTCCGTAGAACCTTCCGCCTTGTCTCCTACCTCTGTTTGCATTGTAACTCTCATGGTATGATTGTGAATCATGATTTGCATACATGAGTTTACTTTGATCATCATTCTGATCTTCCTCATCACAGATTCTCTCCTCATAGGCTTTTAACCTCCCTACAATATCTTCAAATGTTGTTGTATTGAGGTCAAGTACTTGTTCTAGAGCAGCTATGATGTGGATGTATCTTTTCCGAGGTATGCTATTTAGAAACTTTTTGACAAGTTTCTTTTCTTCGATATTGTTTCCTAATGCTGCAAACTTTGTGGATAGTTCAGAAAGTTTTCCTGCAAAATCATCAATCTTTTCGTTTCTTTCATATTCATTCTTTCGTACTCTGCCATCAAAGTTTGTAGCCTTGCCTCCTTTACCCTATCAGCTCAACCATGTCTTGCTTTTATCGCATCCCAGACTTTCTTAGCTGTCTCAACCTTCCGACATGTAAGGTGAGACTCTCTGGTATAGATTGGAACAAGTGTCCTTGAGCCATGATATTCTTGTCCTCGTCATAAGTTCTAGGCTCGATGGTCTTGTAACACCCCACTCCCAAATTGTTGGGCCAATTTGTTTTGGCATTATGATGGAGCCCATGAATAGCCCAATCTCTTTTTAGTGAAAATGGCAAGGGTTTTGTAACGTGTGAATATATATATATATTGAATATCTTCAGTGAAGCCGTCAAAGAGAAACGTGAAACCTAAACCTATAAGCAGAACATCACTTAATCACTGAGACTTGAGAAGTTATAGTCGTACTCTTGTCTTTGAAGTTATTTGTTCGTTAAAATAAAGAGATTGTCGTCGTTGTCATGGTGATCCATCATCCGAGGAGAGATGTGAGAGAGAGCTGAACCACCAATGGAGAAATAGGACTCGATCTAGCAGAATGAACGTGATTTGGCTTGAGGAGAAAGAGAATGATGAGAATAGACGGAGATGGAGGGCGAGACGTGGCGGAGAAGAAGGGATCATCGTCACCGCAAAGGAGAAGCATCGAAAGGAAGAGATATGGTTCAATGACAGTAAGGATAAGCTACAATGAAGAAGATCAGAGTATACCTCAGCTGGGCAAAACAAAAGAGAAGCAAAGGAGGAAGAAGATGAAGGAAAAGGGACAGATCCGAGTTAGGGTTTTGTGCGACTGATTCCCGTCAAACCAGTGGGAATCAGATGAAGAATAAGATATCCTTGGAAATCTCACGTTGTCAAGAATCCACAGCCGATGACGGAGTTTGAATCAAGGTTATATTCAAGAAGTTATTAGTGTTTCTTCCAGGACAAGCAACTGCAGAAAACTGTTTCGTATTGGCTCCTTCGAGGTAACGTTTGGAGGTCTGAAACCATTCTGATCGGGACTAAATTTTGTGGAGAGATTCATGACACTACTGGCTAGATAATCAACGGTGGGATTGCATTTTCAACGGTTAGTTCTTGACTTATGCATATGTTTCCGAGACAGTTTTGTGTGAAGTAAATAGTGACGAGTTTGTGTTGTTGGTCGGGTAAATGAGCTCAGTTTGAGCTGAAGCTTTGCAGGAGCTTTCATGACTCATGAAGTAAGATCTTAGTTGATGGAGAACCAAAGTAGAGCTAAAGAACATGTGGTTACAGTTAAGATATTAAGTGCGTCTAAAGAAGAAAGGAGAAGAGAGATGCTTTTCATCTTCAACTAGGCTAAGGTGAGGGTGGTATTTACGAAGCATAGTATCATTTTCTTTTGTTAATCTTCTTGACGCATGATATGTAGGCTTAGATCTGATTGTATAGGATAATTTTATTTGTTGATATATAAATTAATGATTGCAGAGTTTGATATGTGTTAGTATGATGTTTTAATAATGTGATGTTACGTATGATACGTTAAGTATGAGTATTCTAATATGATGATGATTGTGTATGTATGATGTATGTATGACTGGGGAGAATCGAGCTGTTGGCCGTAGTCTCCCTAGTAATGTGGACAGTGATGGGTCGATGGGTTACATGCTGGTCAAGAAAGGCTGACGAGCCCGGAATGCATGGGAGTGTCTGAGCCATGAGAGCCAGCCTCCACTCATGAGGTTCTAGTTGTCACGAGGATGACTGGACCTAACGATACGTATGTGTGTTAGTATGGATAAGATGGTTGTTATGAATGTGATATTAGAAGTTAAAGTATTTTAGGTTGATTGCTTGTGTCTATGTTTATATGTCATGATTATGGTTGTATAGCTTGAGAAAGTATTCTATGTTTTAGTGGACAGAGTTGATTCTCCTCACTGAGTATTCTTTACTCACCCGTTTTTTCCCCTTTTTCTTCAGGTGAGTAAGCTTCAGGAGTTGTGTGCAATGTATTTGTTCTTTGTGAAGTTTAATGAAAACGTTTTGGCAAGATCGGATGAATAATATGCAGTCTTGGCCTATATGGCGGGACGGGTGTTACAGGTCTCCCAGACCTTATGCACACTAAGAACAATCTGCATCCTGATGGCACAGACAGTGTAATTTGTGGCGGTGAGCATCGGACATTGAATGGTTGAGGAAACACTTTCCTTAGGCGTTACATCTATTATATCGCCCATACTGTCAACTTCAAACAGAGCACGACCTCTGCTTTGATTTTGTCTTCACGTTAGGGTTGCTTAACGGAATAAGAGCTCTGATACCAATTATTGTTTAAGAACCCTAAATAAACACCTTTTGATCAAGACTTGTGATTAAAGACAACTTTCTTTATTAGCTTTATAAACTAACTCAAAACTAAAACCTCACAAACCCTCAATCTCTCATACAACTCATATGACTTACCACACATTGGTAGCTCATATTTATATACAAAAAAAAAACCTTAGACCTAATCCTAACTCAATTAGGATCTACAAAGATATTATCTTAGTTTTAGATATCTCCTAAAACCATTAAAACTTTTAACCTCAAGTTAACTCATAACTCAAGTTAACTTCTAACCATAAGCTTCTAACTCTCAACAGCTTGGTGATTCTCTTCCAACTTGTTGTTGGTGTTCATCACTTGTAAAGCATAATTCTTCCACCAATACGAGTACCTTGACTTGATCATCCTCTATCTTGTTCGAGAAGTCAGTCTTGGTGTCGAGCTTTGGATATTCCGTTAAGTAGTTTCTCGACGAAAGCATTGAACTTGTTATGTAGGAATCGAGTCTTTGACCAGGTCATTGGTATGTTTGGTACAAACGGTACGTTGGCTGGTTCATGAGCTGGTTGTTTAGTGGCTGGAGCTAGTTTGATGTCCTCATCAATAATGAAATTTCATAATAAGATAATTATTTGTATATATTGACATATCGATTTTTAATATTTTCTACCACATTTATTCACAATTTATTTTTGCTAAACATTTTATTTAATTGTTTTAATAATTATGAGAGAAATTTATAAGTCACTAAGAGAGTGAAGGATAAATATAAAATTATAATTTAAATTGAAAAAATGTAAAGTAGAAAACTAAATGTTTTACAAGATATTTTGGTTTATGAGTAAATAGTTTTAAAATAAAACAAAGTAAAGAAACCTATAAATGAACCCACTAGAACATGTTTAAAATATATGAATGAAACCATCACATAGTTTATATAAAATGAAATTAATTTTATAGATATAGATTTTCTTAACATAATATATTTGATTGTTTAAATATATATATATAAATATAATATACTACAAAAATATAGAGTTATTAGGACATAATGTTGAGACCCAAAATATTCATCACGGATTAGTGATGCTTTAACAATGTCGTGACCAATTTTATTTGTCATAAATTCGTAGTTGTTTCGTCACCGATAGAAGATTTTGGAGATAAAATAACTCCAATAGTTATTTTTTAAACTACTCTACCTTTATAAACAAATGGAAATTTATTTCTCGTAACAAAAATTAGTAGACTCACCAACCAGCATACCAAAGTATCATGATCAATTTCTTCTAGCATTCTTTTCACTACATAAACAAACAGTAGTTGTTTACATATTTTGAGTAGTTTATTAGTTGGGTTTAAGGGTTTATTCAATAAGAATTTCATGATTGATTAGTTATAGTGGCGATTTCTAGGTAGGCCTTGAATGGTTAAAGTTTTTCAAATGGTTTTTGGTTTTACATTTCCCAAAAATCTATTTTTTAACTATTCAAGATTCTGAAAAAAGTGGATTCCCTAAAAAATAGGGAATCTAGATTGGAAAATATGTCAAAAAAAAATTATGAACTTTTAAATTTGGGACGATTTAATCATGAACTACGAAGAACACATATAAATCGTAAAGTTTTTGTTGACTTTAAAATTAATTAACAAAGTTTGGTTGACTAGCCATTTTAGACATAACTTTAAGTAGGCTAACAGAAAACGATTACGGTGTTAAACTCCCATTAACTTCGAGACCACCTCCATCGTCTGCTTGTTCCTCAGACCATCTCGATCGTTTACTTCTGCCTTGACACCTCCTCCATCATTTACTTCTGCCTCGACACCACCTACATCGTTTTCTTCTGCCTCGACACCACCTCCTTCATTTTCTTGTGGAACATATACCATGTCCCATTGTCCCTCTTCACCAACTTCTTCGTTGTTCAACAAAGGGAGCGCGAGAGAAATTCTAGTGTTAAGGAATGAAATTGATTTGGGAATTTAGGTTTAAGTTTCCCCAAATCGTCGAAACGACGTCGTTTTGTCGCTACAATAAACGATATCGTTTTGACATAACAGAGAAGAAAAACGGGAGTTTAATACCGTAATCGTTTTCTGTTAACCTACTTAATGCTATGACTAAAATGGCTAGTCAACCAAACTTTGTAAGTTAATTTTAAAGTCAACAAAAACTTTACGATTTATGTCTTTTTCGTATTTCATGATTAAATCGTCCCAAATTTGAAAGTTCATGATTTTTTTGACAATTTTTTCCCAATCTAGATTCTAAGAGTTTTTATTAATTTCTTAACAAAATTCAAAATTTCATTCAATGGATTTTTGAGAATTTTCTCTACGAGATCTTTTTATCTCAATATTTCATTTGTTTACTTATTTTATTTTTACAAAATGCAAAAACCAAAAACAAAAATCTGAAATCTATAATCTAAAAACCTCCTAAAATCCCCTAACATTCATGGCCTTAATCTTAGTGCATCTGATTTGTGTCATGAATTAGTTGTTATTCCAAGAAAATAGGCCCATGATAAGTGCAGTTTTATTTACTTGAATCTAAACTAAGACAAGCTTGATCTCATAACCTCTGAAAATCAAGTTTTATGGTGTTCTTGTGAATCGACAGAAGATTGAATATTTATAACATCGTATTTTCTTCCATATTGTCTATGTTTTTATTAGGATTTCAAGTGATTTTGGTATCTTCAAAGATACTTTCAATTGATTTTATTGGTTTTTGAGAAAAAAGAGAAAAAGACGACCAAAACTCTGTTTCAGGACAGTTTCAAAGCTTCTGAAGTCTGGTGTCCGTTGAAAGCCTTCCCATGCCCCAAATCGAGATATCTTGGAGAGTATGGAAAACTAGAAGAGTCAAGATTTTTCTCAAAGTAGTAGAATGGCATACATCCATTGAGTTATTTGAAAGATAGGACCAGAAGAGTGAAGCCATGTTTCGTACCTATCACTAGGACTGTGACGGGGCTGAAGCTCCTCTTTGCACCATTCACAGCTCGCGTCCCCGGGCTTAGCTCTACTCTAGGGACCGGTCACAGCCCATGCTACCGCGTACCGGTCTGATTGCTTTGCGTCCCGCCTATAAAAGCCCAGACCGTCCTAGAAATAAAAAGGAACAGGGGCATAAAGTGTGACGACGATATATAAATAACTTCATAAAAATTATTTAGTTACTTGAAAAGATTCGATTTTTGATTACGGTAGCCGCCTCCCTAGAACTGGGTGCCTTATTTGACTTGCCATCTTCCACCACATTTTTTTAACTTCAAAATAAATATAAGTTAGGAAGAAAAACAGAGCTTCTTTCTAAGATCAACCCACCATGGAAGAAGAAGGCACCCAAATAGGCCGTTGTTAGGCCGTTGTTGGACTACACACGTGTGTGTGTGTGTGTGTATGTACGCCTTTTGAGTTGTTATAAAGCAGAGTAATTAGTTTACAAAAGTGGTGTGTGTGTCAGTGTCACAGGCTTGGGATCATAAGCATGGTGCTGGAATCTTGAGAGAAACTAAGAGAGACATGATTTGCTTTTACGACTTGGTTCAATGCTTGGAAGGCCATGGAAGCTCTCTGCGTTACTCAACATATTTGCAGTCTCCATGATCGCCATGTTATCAGTATTCATAATCGACTCTGTAATCAGGGAACTCATCTTTGATCTTGATGTAGATGGGTGGTTGGACAAATTTCTGCAGAAATCCTTACCAAAGAGATGTTGTTTCCAGAATCCGAGTATGTTTCTTCTTCTCTGCACAAAACATATGAATGTTAAACAACAAATAAGAAAACTTTAGTTACCTTGTTGAATGGTTTTGTCACAGAATATGAGTTTCAATGCGTATAGAGGAAGCTTATTTGCAAACAACAACATTAAATCCGTCTCATTACCTGTAGTTATAGTTTTAGAACGTTATTGATACGCTTCCCATTAAGGTCAAAAGTTCTTATCTTGAAGTCAATTCTGGAACAGAAAAAAAAGGTAGTAATACACAAACTTACCCACATATGTCAACAATTAGATAATCTTGACGTAAACCACCATTGTAGAAGAAGACATACTCAATGGTAGTAATGAAACTTGTAGTGAAAGTATCATCTGAGAAAATGTAGTAAGAAGCATCTTTCTCCACATCTGAACATATACACGTAAATCTAACAAATAATTAAACACAAAAGGAACTAATTTAATTTGTAAACGAGTAGAAATCTATAGAGGGGAGTAAAATGCAGGATGACAGCGAGGGAACCTTTTAACATTTACAAGTAAATAATGGCGTTTCAGTTTTAAGATCTGAAAGCCTAACCATGGTGTTCCCGAACCCAATTGCAAATTGCTTGCCATCAGGAATAAATGAAACATGAACATGTAACACCCCGGTTTCAGATATATGGTGGTGCATGCGGAGAGGTTTATAAGAATTAATTTGGCCACCTATGTCACGAAAGTGCACTTATCTTTTCGGTCAACTGTCCTGAGAGAACTCCACAATTAAGCGTGTTTGGGCTGGAGTAGTTCAGGATGGGTGACCTTCCGGGAAGTGATTGTCGGAACTGTGTGAGGGAGGAAAAAACACAGGAAAAGATCATGTAGTGATTTGTAGGGTCAGTAGTTTACCTTTATTGTTGTTGATTTTGTATATGATTGAGTAATGTAATGTGGAGTCTGATTTCTATACAATGTAACGATTGTTGAATGTGAGTAGATTGTTGTCATTGTATTTCGGTGGATAGTGTTGACCCCCTCATTGAGTAATTAATTACTCACCCCCGTTTCTAATTATTTTTCTCAGGTTGATTTTATTCATTATTTGAATTTTTAAAGATTTCGATTTTGAAGCAAACCGAGAAGTCAACATGTTGACCAGGTCGTGTGACGGTTCGGGTCCTTTCAATTTGGTATCAGAGCCGAACCCCGGCGAGTGTGAAGTCAAGAGGGCTCACACCGTTGGGGGTGATGTTCTTGGTGCGAAACGAGGACGTTGCGATCAGTTAGTGGGGGTCAATTGTAACACCCCGGTTTCA